GTTCTCGACTCCCAAATATTCCATCGCCGCCTGCCTTCGGTTGTTCTCCTGCCCGCTGTGCTCTTCCTGCGGAATGTCGGCGCCACGCGGGCCGAGTGCTAATGATTTTGCATTGTTTACGTCTACCTGTCGGGTTTAGCGCGGGAGAGCACCCCGGCCACCAAGTCCTCGTCACTGATTTTCCCTGCAATGAGTCTTTTACTTGCTGATTATAGAAAGTGGATTTATTAGATTTTTTTTCTACATTAAGTAAATACATAAGTACAATTCATCCCCACACAGCTACCTCCTCATGTATCACTGGCCCCTCCCTTTCAGATTGTAAGCCCTCAGGGGCGGGGCCCTCTTCACCATCTTGTCTTGTCTTGTATTGTATTGTGATTGTAAGGTCTTCCTTATATTGTAAAGCGCTGCGCAAACTGTTAGCGCTATATAAATCCTGTATTATAATAATAATAAGTAATCAGTATTTATAACCTCTCACAGGGATCACAGTGCTCCCTCAGACAATGCCTTCCTCTGCTTTTCTCTGCAGAAGGACAGCGCCATCTTTGTTCAGGCATCATCCAGGGTCATCAGCTACTTCCTGGACTGAGATGCCGGCTCAGAGATTATGTAAGGGTGCGTTTACACCAAAATTGCAAGAAGGTCCTTTAACGTGCAATTGTACTTTCCGAACTCCTTCCGATCCATTTTTCAATGGTTGCTAACGGAAAGGCACTGAAGAAATGAACGGGTGTGAATGGGTTCACATGGACCCTCCGTTGACTTGCGATTTTCCTTTTGATTTTGGTGTGAATGCACCCTAAATCCTGGTGCCTGATACAGATCGCACCTTGTGACTTGCTACAAAGGTACAATGTTGATGTTTGATCACTGGGGGAGGGGAGACTGAGGAAATGCTTCCTCCTGCCTGCAACAGACTGATCACTGGGGCAGGGGAGACTGAGGAAATGCTTCCTCCTGCCTGCAACAGACTGACCACTGGGGGGGAGACTGAGGAAATGCTTCCTCCTGCCTGCAGCACACTGATCACTGGGGGAGGGGAGACTGAGGAAATGCTTCCTCCTGCCTGCAACAGACTGATCCCTGGGGGAGGGGAGACTGAAATGCTTCCTCCTGCCTGCAGCAGACTGATCCCTGGGGGAGGGGAGACTGAGGAAATACTTCTCCTTAGATACGGTGGAGTAATTTAGCGTAGTCACCCTAGGACAGGAAGTGTGTTACTGGCAGGATCACCAGAGGACAAAAGCCTAAATAAAATAGAAAACGAATGCAGCTGCCTAATCTAGGGACTGGTGAACTGCAATATATTTAATATTTGTTCTTTTAGGGTTTAGTTGCACTTCTAACAACATGTCCTTTTTTTTTTTTCTTTTATAATATGTTTTAAAACTGAGCTTGGAGACTATACTCACCTCCTGAAATGTTAACATTGTTACCTTGTAAATGATTGTACCGTATAGTGCAGGGGTTAAGGCTGTTGCGTTTCGCTCCCTCTGTGTTCTAAACGTGTTAAGGCGTCCTGCAGTGGGCCGGGGAGTGGGACTGCGGCGTCCACAGCACATGTGCGCTCTCCTTATCGCCAGGAAGCCTGTGCGTAGCAGGAAAGCAGACTCTCAATATAGATCTGGCATTTAACCCAGCTGAGAGAAGCGCGAGGAACGCAGGCTGCAGATGGAAATGATTGTCCTGGCCTGA